GAGAATATCGCAAAGAATCTGCAGCGCCATGACTTGCAGGGATTCATGCCCTCTCTTCAGCAAAAGCGTGAAGAGCCGCATGTTCTCGTCGGCAAGCTTGGGTTCAAGTAAACAGCACAATCCCAAGCACTGCACGCCACGTTCGCGAATCAGAGCCTCATGGGATCGCACGGCCGGAATAACCAAATTGTCGAACATGGTGCGCAGGTCGATGTTTGATTGCAGATTTCCTGCCACATTCTGCAGCATGCATTGAGCGATATGGAGGCATTTCATATTGATGACAATCTCCTTGATGGCTTTCGCTTCTTGCTCCTCGTCCGTCAGGTGCTTATTGCGCTTGCTCTTGGCTTGATCGTTCCTAGGTGTCGAGTCACCGCTGACTTCGCTGCGGGCTGAGACGAAACTGTCTTCCTCGTCTGGAGAAGCTTCATCTTCGAGGTCAGAGGAAGTAATATTGTCGTGGACTTCGGCGATGGCTTCGAGAACAATCGAGGTAAACTCTCGCTCGCCAGCTGCATCCGGATTACATACGAGACGTAAGGCTTCCACGGCTAGTCGAGTGCATTCATCTGGTAGCTCAGCCATGGATAATGCATGTCGCAACAACGAAAACATCTTTCTCCTGCCAATCTCATCTGTATAGTCCAGAGACTGAGCAATGTACAAGAGCTGCTCAACGATGAATTCTTGCTCGGCTTGCAGTGCGATCATTTCGTCCGAGTCTGACTCCCTGGCGTTTTTGACCCGCGTGAGCAACTCGTTGATGTGTTTCTGGAGGTGGAAGCCTAGTCTCGTAACCTCGGGCATTTTCTCTTGAACCATCTCCTGATAGTTTAGATTCGACTGGCAGTAATCATTGAACGTGCGTGCCATGAAGGCTGATTCCGGAGTTAGATTGGCCCAAAATTCGTCGTCAAACCCGACGGCATCGAGATAATCGGGTCGACCAGCCCAGAACTCTTTCATTGCTTCCCAAGCAACGCCATCCTCGTTCCCGGTGTTCAAGGTGTCAATTCTTTCAAGCAGCTCTAAGAGAGCAGGAATGCTTGGGTCATAGAAGCCGACGTGGGGTTCCTTATCATCCTTTGCGTCCCCAGATTTCTCGGCCTCGGTCCTGGCGCAGTTCTCGATCCAGCATTCTCTAAACAGACGAGCCGCAGCAGCACGCACTCTCTCGTCGCGGTCTCTCAAGCCCCACCTCAACAGCTTCTCCCGCATAGACAAAGACAGGTGTCGGAAATCGCCAAGTCTAGGGAGCAGTTTTGCGTACAGGGCACGTCTCGTTGGAGCGTCACGATCTCTGGCTCGCTCGAGTAGGTAGGGCAGGGTCTTGGGCGTAGCTGGAATGTTGACGAGAAGCGCCCTTCTGACGTCCGCGTTGGTATCGTTTTGGAGGACATCGAGGAGTTTGTCCAGTAAGCCAGGCGCGACATCTTCGTCCGAATCTTGGTCCTCCCCTTCTTCCATTTCGCTTTCCACCAAACGGCCCAGAGCCATCACTGCCTCTAGGCGTATAGCCGGGACCTTGTCTCTCATTCTCTTGATCAGCTCGTGTCTAATGACCTTGTACAGATCATCGTCGATGGCTTGCAGGACACCCAAGATCTGACAGGTCAATTGAGTGGCTCGGTATCGGACCGTCTTGTCTTTGGCACAGAGAAACGGAAGGATGCCCAACAGAATGGTGGCAGAGATCTGATTCGAGGCATCATCACTGGCGAGGTACGTCGTGAGGAACTTGATGACACGCGATCCGGCCGGTTCGGATTTTGCAACTTCGAGGAGTCGGAAGACGCATTGTTTGACGTGCGCCTCGAAGTTTGGAGAGTTTTCGAGGCGGCGCAGTCGTTTCGCCAACGTCTTGTGGCCCACTAGAGAGCGCTGAGCATCTGAGAATATCGCTGCGACGGACATTGTTGTGTATTCCGGGTCTGGCAACAGGTAGACTGTTGGGATGAGTTTGTAGCACTGTCGAGAAGTTTCATTGACCCGACAATACCGAATCGGGACAGGGAGTAAACAAACTCGAGTGGCAGCTTAGTCGCGTTGTCGGCAGACCTTCTGTGTACATTTCGGCTTACTTTCCTATTATCCTGCATAGTCCAGTCCAGTCCCATCCCAAGTCCTTCGTACATTCTTCGTACCAAAGGATCAAGTCTCTTCCACTGACTCCAGGCTCGCTGCAGCATCGCCAATTACCCTAACGACCAGGTTGATGGCTACTGAAGGTCCAAAATGACTCACCACGGATAATGCGGTGGCAGCAGAGATGTTGGGCATCGTCTGCAGACGTCGTTGGTGGTCTGTTGCATGAGAAAGCCAAAACTGCGCAAACATACGACGAGGGTCAGACCAGCCTCTACCAAAGTGCACGGAGCGTCCCTTTCCCAGAACATATCTCTGGCGCAAGCCATGTTTCTTGGAGCGAATCGTCACACACCATGTCCCGCGTGGCTACGGAAGGTGGATCCGAGGGCATGGTGCGAATGTGCATGACAGGATCATCAGGGACGACAAGGATGGCGCTTCGCATGGGAACAATGGTCCAGACATCGTTGCCACTGATCCCTGGAGAGATGGACAGGTGGCGACTTACGAAGCTTCAGAAGTCGAAGTTGAAGGTGCGATTCCACCCACCCTCCGCCATGGTCAAGAGACCGCGCCGAAACGTCCATGCGTGCGTGGACATCACTCGTAGGCTGGGAGAGAATGAAATCGCGATGGTCAATGTTATAGAAGAGGGGGGCGGTGGGAGAAATGGTGCAAGCGGTGGTGTAGGCGATAAGGTGGTGTTTGTAGAGTATGTCGTGGTGGACGCAATAGAACAAACACGTTTCCACGCCACACCACGTCGATCATTCTGTCTGGCCATGACGAGGGCAAGCCACCCAGCTCTTTTTCTATGCACGAGGACTGTAATTGCTTCGTCCTCTGCGCGCCTCTTATTCATCTATTTCTATTGTTTGCGTCATCCAACGGAAGTCGGTGTGATTGATGCCAGCTTAAGCTCGCGATCTCAGCGACATGATCAGCAGGAACAGAGCATGGGGTGACGGATCGATCAACGATCAGCGTCGACGATCCTTTACAATGACCATTTTGAAGCCCTAGTCGACCTGGACTAGTCCTCACTTTGTACGCCGGCGGTGAGGCTGTAGCAAGACTCTTTTCTCAAGGCTGCACACACCGCAAGTCATGACATTTGGGAGAGTGGCGCGATCATCACTGACAGCCACATCCATCCCTCAGCAGATCTTATCCTCCTCAGGTGACGGATATGTTATCCCGGGACAAGGACCCTTGTCGACAAGAGTCGAGGCTCGTTCGCATCCATCGCTGATGAATTGCAAATTGCAGTCCGCCACCTCGTCGCCATCTACGCCAGCAGCTCGATCCTGCGCCAGCGCTGCGGAAACCGGCACTGTCACTTCCGTGTGTGATGGATGGAAACCATTGCGCACTTTGAAGAGAGGGTGACTCATTAACGATAACGAGACATTCATTCTACAACAGAAGATGGGTTGGGCTGCAAAGGCCAGCTGCGCAGCAAATCAGATAACGGTCCCGGGTTCACGTACCTGCTTCCATTGCTTCTAAGCGAAGAGAGACGAGGAGAGACGTGAACCACAGTTTCGCCAAATTATCAAAGACCACATGAACTGCTGCTCCAACTACCCAGTCGTGCCAGTCCCAATGTGCAGTGGTTGGCCCGGTTCCAGGCTGACTTCTGCCTCTTGCGGAGGTTACACAAAGAACGCAGAGTTCTTTTCCTTCCGACCACTCTGCTGGCCCTTTCGGCAGTTGATGCAGGTCATAGTACTTTTCTCATCACGGCCCTGCTGCGGCCAAGTGCGTGGTACTCTTCTCCAAGGCACTGGCGAGCCAAACCAAAGGGTCAACCGGAGTCGATTGCTGTGCTTCGGCTCATGTGATGGAGGAACTCGAGATTATGCACAAAGTTCACCGTTTCACCCTCATCGACGACGAATGAGAGTCGTTCCGAGCCACGTTGGGCATGAATTTCACATTATCAGACCAAACAATCTTACTCGAGCAGTGGCCGCATTTTCAAAGTGAGGCGACCAGGACGAGGTGCAGCTGCCCGCAGCCACCCAATGAGCCGCCGACCAGGAGTCCGTGATCGTCGTCCCTCGGAGAACCCTCAGAGCCAGCCAATCGAGATCTGCCCACCGTTGCGTGTTACGGATGGGGCCATGGGCCATGGCGCATGCAGGCCACCCGCAACTTTGCAAGCAGGTTCACTTGAATCCGGCTGGACCAGGGTCGACCCGCGCCCAGATACGAGCCACAGACCCCGAGGGAAGTTGGCATAGAACAGGCGAATGGAACGCTCGGAAGGTGGGCACATCTAGGCTCAAAAAGTGCCTAGAAAGAGGCGTCCGAACAAGGGAATCAGGCGACGGGTACTTTCTACAACCCATCAGAATCCTGGGAACGTCTGTTGCTCATGGCCCCCCCTCCTCCCCCAAAGATCAGCAAAAAGCCCCCCTGGACGTGTTGCCCGACTTGGTGGTCTTCGAGTTTGCCCAAGCGGCAGTTTGCCGTCATAATTCTCCTAGAGCCCTGGCACATGTTCTGTCAGGGAGACTGGCATCCCCACATGGACTTCTCGTCGCTCATCTACCTCGCAATGAAGCAGGTCCTATAACATCCCCAGCCTGTCCCTCCTTTCTCCCAAGGCTGTTTCTCAACCCCAATTTTTGACACGACCCTTCACCACATCATTTTTCACCTTCGTCGATCCCTTGTAATTGGATTCCGAAGGACTTTGTTGTACTGATCCACTATATTCTATTACCTCCTTCGAACATCAACTGTGAGTCTCTTTACATTTATCGGGGAGGACAAACTGATTGTCTGGGGCCCCAATTGACTGACCACACCTTCAGATTGGCTGCTTGCCATTCTTCTTTTGGAGTGCCATCACTTTTTCCAATTGGATACCTATATTTTTTGGTTACTCCATGGTCGACAACATGGACTCTGGTGCTCATCAAGTCATTGAGCTTCTTCGGTCTTGTCGTGCCGCCTACGAGCAGACCATCCAGCATCTCTCTCCCGACGAGCTCGAACAGGTCTCACGTTACTGGAACTCGATGAATGTTGAGATGAGGAACTCCCCTACGACTTCGACCCATGAATTCGGTTCTTCGGTTCCCTCCAAACGACCTGCATCCTCTGCGATGGTTGGTGATATGGAACCAGCGTCCAAACGTAGTGTCCATGTACGTCCCCTTTGTTGACTTTACCCACGCTCCTTTTTGGTTGACGGACGAGAAAGAAGGCAGTATCCCTGGCTTCGTCGGCACCTACGGCCCATGTCCTCGAGCGACACGTCTCAGCTCCCGTTGTTGGTCAGTCGGCCTCGCGCACCCAGCCAGGCAGACCCTTGGTTCGAACTTCACCTCTTCCCCCAACAACGACAACGACGACGGCGACGACCAAGCCAATGCCCATCCCCCGGCGCAACAGTTGGCAGCGGAGAGGTTCCACAGCCGCCTCATACCCCAATAGATACTTGGGATCCAACCTGCACTTCATTGAAGAGGTTCAGGTCATGTCTCCTGCGGACTTTCTCGCCAAGTCTACTTCGGACGACTTCCATCAGACACCCCCAACCATCTCGTTGACGCCTCCCACAGTGGTGGAGCGCGGTGAGTTCCACATCAACCAGATGGCTCAGCTCACATCTCCGTATTCTTCAGCGATAGAGTCGCCAGGAGGAGTTTTTACTCCAATGACGGCGACTAGTGATTCGAGCATGACAGCTCCGTCAACCGTGTTGTCGGAGCCCATGTCTCGAAGCAACACAAATGATGTTCTCTGCGAGGGCTTTGGGATGTTTCGCATGGACTCGATGTCGATGCCGAAAGATCACAAAGCCTCGAGCAGCATGATGGCCGAGTCTCGGTATCCCCAGGATAACGAGTCGGCGCGACAATTTTCCTTTACTTCTTCTGTCGGTTACAATGAGTTTTCGCGTTTTTCCTTTGATGATGAGCTTCAGTCATCATCCTCTCCTTCTAGTTTTGAGATGAAGAAATCACCTTCCTCTGGAAGTGATGCTTCATCGGTTTCTATTTTGTCAGAGTCTCATATGTCGTCGGCACGAGGACTTCCACAGGAAGTCATTCCTCGTAGCAGTAACACAGTCTCACGACCGCTGGCTCCCAAGATGGAGCGTGCTCACCAGGTGTCGTCGTCGTTGCACTCGGCTGAGATCCCGGCACCGAAACTGATCGCCGTCCAGGGTGCCGACGGTACAGTAAAACACAAGGCAGAGATCACGCGCACCGTCCGACAACAACCTCCTCGTAAGACGACCTTCTGCCAGTTCTGTAACGATCAACCTCAGGGCTTCCATGGCGACCACGAGCTTCGTCGACACATCGAGCGGCACCATTCTCAAGTGCGCCGGGTTTGGATCTGCAAGGACGCGTCGGCCGACGGCAAGTTCTTGTCCAACTGCAAGGCGTGCCGCAGCCGCAAGACGTACGGTGCCAACTACAACGCCGCCGCCCACCTGCGCCGTGCCCACTTCAACCCGTGCAAGAATCGACGTGGGGGGCGAGGCAAGAAGAGCGAGGGTCGCGGCGGCATGGGTGGCGGCAACACACCGCCCATGGAGTTTCTCAAGCACTGGATGTACGAAGAGCTTGAGCTCAACGTCAACGGCCGCGTGATTGTCCAAGATATCAACGTCCCCGACACGACCTTTCAGGCTGCTGTGGTGAATGAACACATCAAGTGCGCGTCGAGTGCCAGCAACACCAACAACAACGGCGGCTTGGACAGCGCCAACTACGATCTCACCGACGACGACATGATGCAGACCCAAGCCATTCCCATGTTGGACCTCTCGCAAGAGCCATTGTTCTACGACAACATGCTCAATGCCGACGCATATGTCAACGTCGACACCACCTCCCAGAATGCCATGTACAACGCCAATGCCAGCGGCTTCAACTTTGCTTCTGAGGATTCCAACTTTGGGTTTTCCCAGTATTGAAGGACGCCACGACATGACATGACACACACGACCATGAACGACGCTAGCTACCCAGATGAAGACACGGGTCAGGTTCAAACGCACTACACTTTCCTTTGATCCTCATGTACATAGACATTATGATCCTTTCGCTTTGGTGCTCTCAGTCTGCACTATTTACCTGTTTATTACTGTCATCTTCTGTGGAAATGTGTACTCGGTCCAGGGGATGGGTCAAGACAGGATATATTTTGGCATGAATACAAGGGGAAGGGAAGGGGGGATGACTTGAGCTGGGATAGGCTAGGATGTGGACTGACTTTCTCTCTGTTGTTGGATGTCTTATATCCCTGTGTATGAGGTCGAGGTTCCTGTGGTTTTCAGCTCTCGTTGTCGGTGACTTTTTGGTGGATGGTGGATGATTACTACTTCCCGCCGCGATGGTGTCCCGGGTTGTCAATTGTGTTCCAGGCTCAACTGTGTTATTGATGAATGTTGTTTTGGGGAAGGGCATACGGTACTCGATCTTCGGTATCTTGAATATCAAAAGTTTTTGTGTTTTTTTCCTCATCATCCAAACTTGATCTTTCTTCGATTGGTCTACAGGTTATGTGCTCGTGGAGTAGACTACGGGGTAAACGGACTGTCCGCGTCACTACACCTAGAGCCTCGTGGAACTACGTTCATTGACGTCTAGTCGTCCCATCGCCTTCATGACCTGGTAACTATTGCCTCCAAAACACCTCCAAAATCTGGAGACTGAGAACCTATCTTCTTCCCCCGTCGTAATCGGCTACATATCTTCTCAGATAGGTAATGTATGTATCTGGTATTGTTCGGCGCCATTATTCAATCCATGAGGGAAACCGGCACCCACGAATCCCGGAGCCGGGCACTGGCAATGGAGGGTCAATGATTTGTGATCGACAGCTACACTCTCGCCGTCGCCGCGCTTTGGCTTGAGTACCAACCAACCAGATGCATATTGCATGCTGCTCGGTGCTCCATGCCTACGAGGTGAGAAGCAACTGACGTGGTAATCATACATAATCATATTCCATTGCACTACCGTGTCCTGGCTCATGAGATGGACTCTAGAACACATCTTGACAGATTTCTATCCACCATCCCAACAACCGTGTGAGTATATATCTATCTACTCGTACCAAATCCAACTCCTCAATTTTGATCCCAATTCAATCCAATCCAGTCTCAATCCAGTCTACCAACAATGTCACCACCACCAACGCCACCGGCGGTAGCACCGCAAAAAATCCCCAACCGCTTCATCATCCACGTCACCCTGTTCTTCGCACCCGAACACGTGCCCCTCGCACTTGACGCATGCCGGACCCTCTTCTCCGAGGCGTGGAAGGACCCGCGCCTCGATTTCTGCCAGGTCGTGCAGGACGCGGACGAGCCGGGCACCATTCGGATCCAGGAGGGGTGGAATGCGTCGAGGAGGTATTTGGATGAGGTACGCCGCCGTCCGTGCTGTCCGGGGGACTGGACAGGCTCGCTCTCGGATGTGACGAGAAGTGAGGTTTGCGGTCTAGTGTCTGTGCTAACTATCTGCCTGAACCACCTGTTGGGCAATATAGGTTCAACTGCACAAGCCGTATTACATTCCCTATCTGCAAGCCACGGAGCATCTCTGGATCAAACCACGTAAGAAGGTCACTTCGTCCCATTATCATCACCACCACCGTCATTACCGTCATTTACTTGTATTTATCCCCTCTTCCTCCCTCTTCCGCCTCTAGCTATTGTGATCACGAACCCCTTGAACGGCGTTGGTACCTGGCTCACGGCTTACTGGCTCACTGACTGACCTCCGATGTATCTTTTCTTGTCTTCTCTCAGGCGTCATCGAGATTTTCGAACGCTTGTCCGAATGGACGTGGATCAAGCCGTCGTTTGAAAAGGACTTTGGGGTGGCTTCTTCAGCGGCCATCGACATCTCTGAGTCGAGTGATGGGAGATTGCAGCGAGGGAATGAGTGAGTGATGACGAGTAGGGGAAATGAGAGACGCTTAGGCTGAGTCGGAGCTGGAGCTGGAGAACAGCGATGAATATGAATAGGAACCGAGGGACGAGACAATGGAATGGGAAAGGGAATGGCTCAAAGATCCACGAGAAGATATGTCCTACTCATGTAGAGATTAGATCGAGAAACATCTTTTTCACTCTTTTCCCAGCATATTCGATATGTACCGGGTATCTCGAACTGACCGATAGGTCCTTCAGTTTGCTCCTCCCTTCCTGTCTTTCTGTACTCCCGGGACCAGGCTCCTCGACCTCAACGGCACGCATGCTCCTCTCCACTCTAGAGCTACTGTGTTTCCCTGCTCCCAAAGTCCCCAGCGATCCAAGGCCTGTTTAACTTCCACCACTTCGCACGGCTGGGCCGTGCTGTGCTGGACTGGGCAGGACACATTCAGACCTTCTCGTGCAGGACGACCTCAGTCCCCTTCTTTGCCGCCGCCACCTTGACATCCGCACCCTGTCTCTTACCAAGGTGTTCCTCGATGGCGATCTGGCCGTCGCCCATGACGGTGATGTCGGTCGAGTAGATCTTCACCTCGTCCGTGTCGCCAAAGATTGCGGCGAGTTCCTCGAGGGGCACCGATCTCGTTTCGGGGACCCAGAACCAGTACAGCACCGAGCCGACGGAGAGGACGCAGATGAAGACCTAGCCGAGGAGATGTTAGTTCACATAGGGTCTTTTGTGAACTCTGCTAACCAGCTAGCTAGCCAGCCAGCTAACTGGCTAACTTGCTAACTGGCTGGCTTGCCGTCTGCGATTTGGCAAGGGGCAACAGAAACTCACCAGTAAAAATCTCCATCCAATGTTCTGGAGCGCAGTAGGCGCCACCTCGAGGTAGAGCAGGTTGGCCGCGCTGTTGACAAAGACGCAGAAACACACGCCCTTGGCCCGGATGTGCGTCGGGAAGATTTCACAGTAGAACGGGGCGCCGCACGCCTCGACGCCTAGACAGTAGAAGATGACGATGAGGTACAGGGCCGTGACAGCCCAGCCCAGGCCGACTTTATTGGTCGCCGTGGGCGCGTAGACGGCTTCCATGGCCGTGAGGATCACCAGGGACACGACGCAACCCACGTAGCCTGCCATGATGAAGGGCTTGCGGCCGAACCTATCGCACAGTGTGACGCCGATAAGGGCGGCGGGGATAGAGCCTGTCGACCCATAGTGTGAGAAAAGAAGACCACGGGGCAAAAATACAAAGAGTCCCTGTGAAGTGACCCTGTGCGGACCTACCTGCAATCCAACCGCACTGTAGTATCAGACTTTGCTTGACATTAAACCCCAGCGAGGCGTAAAGAGAAGGGCCCTGCACAGAGAGAAGCCATGTCAGTATCCGCTTCAGTCTCGTGCGGTGTAAGTAATTAAAATGAGGAGAGCAACGGAAGACTCACGTAGGCCGCAGCGACGAGGACGGCGGTGCTCTGGCCCAGAAACGTTACCAGGCTGGCCATGAGCATCCGCTTCCTATACGAGGGCTTGGAGAACAGGTGGAACCACGAAGAGTCGAGGGTCCGGTCGAACTCGAGCTGTGTCCGCATCTGGAAGAACTCCTCCTTGATGTACTCCTGGTTCTCGTCCTGCGGATCGTGGTGCAGTCTGCTCACAGTCTGCCACGCCTCTTCGACTCGGCCCTTGAGGAGTAGGTACCGGGGAGACTCGGGGGCCCAGAACAGCACAGCCAGCAGAGCGGTGGATGGCACCAGACTCAACCCGAGGGGCGTCCTCCATTGCACGTCCGGGTTTGTCGTGTAGGAGAAGGCGAGGCCCATCAACGCGGCGGTGGTGTAGCCAATGGCGATGGCCACACCGGTCAGACCAGTAAAGAATCCCCGTGTCTCGGCCTGGGAGAGTTCGGCGATGTATGTGGATGCTGTAGTTGGAACCTTGCAGTCAGTCTCTTTCATTGCGTGTATGTAGGAAGGACGTACTGGCGGCGATAAAGGGGACTGCCCCAAATCCAAGGATCGTCCGCGCAACAATGAACATGCCGATGTTCTGAGAGGCTGTGACCAAAATGGTACCTAGAATGTAGATGGCCACAAGGACTATCATGGTTGGTCTCCTTCCGATCCTGTCAAGGGACCAGCTGGCGGCGAGGACACCTATACATCCTCCAGTCTGGAACAGGAGTGAGAGTTAGCCATACGGAAACATGGTCAAGCACACAAAAGACAGAAGACCTGTACATACACAAAACAAGCCCACTGTAGTACCGGTCAACGCCGCCTGGTTCGGGGCTGGATTGCCTTGCGCATCAATCAGATGCATATATGACAGGAAGGTCGGTTGGCCGAGAGTCGTGGAGATCTAGGAGGACAGTCAGGGCAAGTTGGCCTTCCTTCTTGTTTCCAGAAAGATTCCGGGAGAATGGTGAGGAGCTCACGATTGAAGCTGCATAGCCATAGCAGAAACTGCCCAGTGACAAGAAAAAGCAGCACCAGAAGGTGCGCCAGTTGAGTCTCTTGTGGGGGGCAGCAAATGTCATCTTGTTGTCTGTCTGTGGATGTGATCTTGGTAGTCACCTCTGAGGCAGTATGCAACGTGTCGAATATGGAGCTTTCGTGATATGTAGAGTGGCAAATCACTCGCGATTTATATCGACAATGTATCGACAATGTTGGTCGAGGGTAACCCTCCAGGTCTGCGTCTCCGTCAACACAGAGTCCGGAACCCCAGACTCGGACACCAGATGTTCCAGAGCTAGTTCCTCCTCCATTTCCCCATTCTGCCGAGCCATATTCCGGGGTATTCGTGTCGGATTCTGCGAACCCCGTCGAGGATGGTTCGTATCCGGCTTGTAGAATTGCCGCTAGACATGGTCCCCGGCCAGAAGATTTGGATTGTTGGGAAATGGACGAGCGCAGTGGTTTGACTCGAAACCTGCTTCTCAAAGCGTTTGTTTGTCGTTGGTAATCAACGTCGATTCTTTAAAAGATTGGCAAGGAGCTTACTGTATTTGCCTATTAAAATAAGCGAGGTTGAATCTCTCTTTAAGAACTGCTGGTCGTACATTAAGGGTGACAAGACACGTCTCGTTCAGCTATAATCGACATCAGACTGGTAGCTGCCAGGGCAACATCCTCAGTTCCCCGAGTCTTGTTCTCTGCAATCAAACGGGTCAGCGATAGGCCAATGGCCGTATAGTCACCAAGTATGACCGCAGAAAGACACAAGCTCGGGATCGCTACAGTCTCGCTCGGCTGGCATCCATCGCACACTCTTGAACGAAAACTCGATGCCGTAGCCCAACAAGGGTATGAGGGGATAGAGCTCTATCACCCAGACTTGGTCACCTTTGCAGAGCAACATTCCCTGACGCATTTGCAAGCCGCGTCGGAAATAGGCAGAATGTGCAAAGACAGAGACATCGCCATCATAGCGCTCCAACCACTGTTTAACTTTGCCGGCGTTCTCACGCCCTTGGAAACTCGACTCAAATCCGCCCGTGAGTATATCTCTCTGGCTCGGGCGATGGGAACAACGATTATCCAAGTACCAACAACATATGAGATGGATTCGACGGGCAACGAAGATATTATCGTGGCAGAGCTCCGCGCCCTCGCTGATTTGGGGAGTCAACCGACGGAGACCGGCGAGAAACACATCTTCTTCGCATTCGAAGCATTGGCGTGGGGTGTGCACCATGCATTAATGGATGATGCGATCCGCATCGTCAAGCTCGTGGATCGATCGAATTTTGGTCTCTGCCTCGACACTTACCATGTCCTCGCGAGGGTTTGGGCAGACCCGCATGCAGCGTCCGGCACAGGCACAGGTATCGCTCCAGGAGGATATGCAGCGCTCAAGTCCACACTTGACCGATTCATGGAGCAGTGTCCGGTTGAAAAGATCTTTTATCTCCAACTCAGTGACGCTGAGAAATTGAAGCGGCCACTCATTCCAGGCCATGAGGCTTACAAGGCCGAATGGGCCCATTGGGATGCGACCATGCATTGGTGTGTCTGGGGGAGATTATTTCCTTATGAGACTGAGTATGGTGCCTATTTCCCACTAGACAATATTCTGCAACTTTGGCTCGTGGAGAAGGGATGGAAGGGCTGGGTGAGTATGGAGATGTTTCATCGGGACGAGCACAAGGAGTCGATTGGTCCCGAAGTGCTCGTGGAGAGAGGATATAACTCATGGCTGAAGATCAAAGACCGCTTCAATTTGAAGTGATCAACTCGCTGTCTAGAGGGAGCACCTTCCGATGCTGGAAAGGTTGTCAGATGGCTTCAAGCGCCAGCGACAAAGGTGTACAGGCAACACCCGTGGAGTCCGTGCCCTACCCAGACGTCCCTGATGAGAGTTAGCTGTAAAGCAAGAGTTTGTTCACCCTCCAGCTGGGAGTTGTTAGCTAATGCCTCTGTCCAATGAGAGGCAGAAAGTTCCGGTTGGTTTGGCTCAAGACCCAGCTAGGACGACTGATCACGATGGTAAGTGGGCACCGGCATTCGTGAATGCCGGCGTTGATGTCGTCCACGTCTAAAGACAAGAGATGGTGGCATCCTTTGTGCCAAGACTGCCATTGAGATTTTGAGAGCTGTAATATCGTCTAGACGTAGGCAGATAGATGTGATAGCCCTGCTGAAATGGGGTGCATCGTTCGACTATCTGGTTCTGTGGCGCTGCTTGCAGAGCCTTGTGCGAGCACTTGGGAATCATCCCAGATCGAGAGAACATTGTGGGCCCGGAAGAGGTGCCGCGCGGTCGGACCTCCCTTGAGACTCAAGCCGAGGGAAGCAAGAAACAGTAATGGAGGTGCCGTTCCCACGGAAGGTCATGTTGAAGATGACAAGCCCGCTGGAGGGCCGTGTGAATTCAGGTGGAAGTGATGACAGCGAAGGTTTCAGTGATGATGCTTGTCAGCGTTCGAAGATGCTCAATTTACGACGATCATATGTCTCTGGTAGAGTGTGAAAACTTGCTGAAATGCGTTGATGGTATGGCTACTTGTGTTGGGTTGGCAGGGGACAGGCGGTTGTCGTCGAACAAGGATCGAGACAAAACCATTTCAAGAATCGGGAGCTAACACTATTTAGTACTAGATCCAGTTTAATTAAGTCCTTGAGGTGGTGTCGGCACGTGCCCAGCTAGTTGGTACGTCTCTCTAAGTGGCTGGCGGCCCGGGTGGGGACGGCATTTTCACTTGCACTCGCCAGACCTGTTCCGATTGTTCTCACCTCTTCCCCACAGTATGACCCCAGGTTCACCAGTCCGCACTGTAGAGTGGCCGACTGCTTCGCATCTTCTGTTTCCTTTATATGGATAACGACGAAATGCGCTGTGTTGAACCGCATAATTGAGCATTTGGGCACATATTAATCAGGTGTGATCCTCACCCCTATCATCGTATACTCATCAGTACTCGATGTGACTCTCCAAGTATTCAAGACCTGGCCCAGCGGCGGACGTCTCCTCTCAATGTTGTGAAATGATTGCCATTCTGCATTCTGTTCACTTTCCACCTCCCATCAAGCAACGTCGATAGATCTTGGGCAGAAACATCCCACCTGCATTATTCAAGTCACATGAGCTTTCGAGAGAGGGATGACAACTGGCAAGCTTGATCAACCACGGGGAAGGTCCTGTGAGGAATGTAATCGGTAGGTAGGCAAGCTAGGACAAGGAATCTATGCTAACAAGGTCCCGCAAACAAGGAAAAAGGCGAAATGTACGTCGTTGTCTGTATTCATTTCTAGTTATCTGATGATAATGACGCTGCGCAGCAAGTAATAAACAGTGGCTAATATGGTGTACAGGTGACAAGAAAACCCCAAAATGCCATCGATGCCAACAATCGGGCTCGCGTTGCGTATATCCCACCCGCCGCAAGCGCACGACCCTGGAGACGAAGTTTCAAAGCCTCCGACGAAAGCTGGTAGATTCAAACCAGGCAGGTCAACTAGGTTCGCAGGAATCCACCTTTGACATATCTTGAGATGCCCGTGAGGGCTGGTCTTCCCGAAGAAGACAGAAGACAGAGGCTAACGTTTCTGCACGCAGAAGGGCTGCTGGATAACGTCGACCTAGATGTCCTACGTGGTGCTCTTCAACGGAGAGAGCAAAGGGCTGTGACGACAACGATGGAATCTCAATCTTCACCATCCAACAAGGAAGTTCGGGACCATCCAAATTACCAGGATCAGCAAGAACAGGATATCTCGCTATCACTACCATCACTACCACCATCGATTGTACCAGACACCCCAAACCCGCGGAATGCCTTGGACCCAAGCGAAGGTCATATTCCTGATCACTTGGATGTTGGAGGACCACACGATAGCCCGTCGCACGACTCTCATAATTGGCTTGGGAACATGACCTTTAGTCCCTTCACTGACAGTTATGGGATGTTCAGTTTCCTGAACCCGAGCGAGCACTATGGTCAGTCGCAGGCTCTATTTCTCCCCATCTGTCTTGCTGTCTGAATCCCTTCGTTAGTGAGAGAGTGGTATGGATCTTCTGACCTTTTCCTTTTTCGATTAGGCGACGCATGGTCAGGCTCCGCACACAGTCTGTCGGAAGATCTGAACCTCGCAGACAGGAATTCCTGTACACTCGCATTCCCACCAACATTAGTAGATGAATTGTAAGTAGCCCTTGAAATCCACTTTGATCCCCTCATTTCCAGGCTCTCGAATATTGCGTGTGAGACCTTGACTGACACGCATGAACACTCATCTTCCTCTCAGAATCGACCTGTTCTTCTTACGAGTTCAAACCTCTATCCCCATCTTTCACGAACCGAGATTCCGCCAAAAGTTCCGTGTCGGCAGCAACGACAACGACAGATACGCGAGGCTGTCTATCGAAGATGCTTTGATCGTGGCAGCCATGATGGCCTTGTCCGCGAGGTTCTCGACCAACGACTTCTTCTCGTCCACACCGTCCAAGGACAAGGGTAAAATGTTCGCCCGCAAAGCCAACGCTCTGTACGCGGAGGCTCTCCAGAGTGACGAACAGGGCAGCGAGGAGGGGAACGACATCTCTCTCGGATTCCTCCAGGGATGTATCCTCCTGGCGTTCTACGAGCAGTCGAACCGAATCACGACCCAGAGCTGGCTCCTGATAGGCACCTGTTGTCGACTTGCGATCGACCTGGGCTTGAACGAAGTGGACAAGGACGCTCTCATCACCACCGAAATCGCCACGTTCACCACACCACCCAACACCGACGCCGGGCACGAGTTCTCGGCAGCGAAAGACTCTTGGGTCCAAGAGGAGGAGAAGAGACGGGCGTGGTGGCTGGTGTGGGAACTGGACGTGTTCGCGGCCACCATCCTGCGTCGACCGCACGCGATCAACAAGGACCAAATGCACGTCTTGCTCCCAGTGTCGGACGCAGCATGGTTCTCAGAGACACCCACGGAGTCGATCCTGCTTCAGACGGGTTTCCTCCACGAGTGGCAGACGTTGGAAAACTGTGCTGACGCGGACGAACGGGCGTGGTTCCTGGTCACGACCCTCCTGATGGCCAGGGCCGCGGATCTCGCCTCTCCCGAGAACGGCTTCACACTGCAGGACATTGTCAACTTCGGGTCGACCTTGAACTGCTTCTCCCTGCTCCTCCCCCAGGGCTTCCAACTCGACTTTGTGCGCACACCGTTCAATGAGGGCAGCTTTGCTGGCAATAACTGGGCGCTGCTCACGATATTCATGCTCCACACGTGCGTTTTTGTTTTGTTTTTTTCCTCTCCGCCGCCAACCTGTTGATATCGATAAAACTGATGATCGAATCTAACACCTCCCCGACTTTTCTATAGTGCCCGCGTCCTCGTCCGAAATGCACAGTACATCAAGTCCCAAACCGAGCTACATGACCCGGCCGCGGTGACGGCGCTCCCTTCCGGCCCGCACAATGATACGTATCTCGTGTTCCGGGCCATGGAAGCCTGGCCGCCCGAATACCTCATCTACGCGTGTCCGTTTGTGTCGTGCACCATCATCGGACCGGCCTTTGACAACATCCGGGCCGCGCTGCTGTTCGAGCCGGGGAACCACGGCAACTATCTGTCCATGTTGAAGCTGATTCTCAAGAGGATCGGGGCGTTTTGGGGCATTGGCGAGAGTGCCTTGAGTGAGTCTGCCTCCCTCTTTTGGCCCACCCCAAGCAGCACAGTGTATCCCACCCACGATGAACCCACCGACAGGATTCTCGCTAACGCAAAGCCGCCCCTTTTCCCCCTCTCCCCACCATCCACCTGTATCGCACAGGGAGGGTGATCAGGGGATCAGGGGAGAGTGGGAGCGGCGCCGAATCGCACAGGACTCGTTGAAATCTTCGAACACGAAGTCAAGGTCAACGGCTCGTTTCGCAAACAGGCCTTTCACCGCTACGCAAAGGACTTTTCGTTGCTGGTGGTGGATCCGGCGAGGAATGCGTGATGCTCGCAGCCATGCCATGTTCATATGCATATCGCGAAACCAGGGAATGGAAAAACGGGAAATGGATTTGAAGAAGAAACAAACTCCTATTGACCCTGGGCCCCAGAGGAAACGAGAAAAAAAATTTAATCAAAAAGGCTGTTTATCGAAATCCATACAGTGTTGCAATCTTGTTGTCTCGAGTTATGTAGAAATATCGTCGTCATCTTCCCAGGACATAATACCTCTCGGCCCTCTCCAAAGGAGGCGCCGCGATGGTGCCAATTTACCACAGAAAGACAACCTGAACCAAACAGTTCCAAAGATCATCTCTCTGTCTTGACAGTGAAACCTCAATACTCCACCCAGGATGGATCGCTTCGGTACGATTCTAGGAGAAGAAACATGCCCGTTTCCTGGTCAATAGCTGGCCATTGGCAGTGGCCACTGGCACTGGCGGACAGCCTGTCCCCCCTGGTCTGTACGAGGTATACCTAGGGTGCCTAACTTCCGGCTTTCATCAATGCCGGTTGAAGGATATGACTAGTTTCACCTATCCGTCTTGACTCCGGACTCTGGTTTGCGAATCGCTCCCGCTCTCTTTCCCCAGAGGCCACAGGATGGGTATGTGGATAGAATGATGACTAGACCCGGACTTGAGACCCCCCAGGTTGTGGAGGCAAAGACGGGGAATAACCCCATGGGTGGACGCGGCGAGCAATACGTCAACGTCTAGCTGACCCACCACCAGGAAATACTAGACACCGATGGGGGCAATGGGAACAGGACCTTGTCTTATTCATGATCATATTCTCACCACGGTTCCCGGTTCCCGTATGTCGTAAGGAACAGAGGTGACTGTCGCCTATCGCGTTGTCTTGACCTGTGTGGGGAAAGCCGGAACAAATCAGTCTTTGATCCAAATACAGACTATCGACGGCGAGGTAGACAAAGTAGGCCCATTGCTATCCCGCTGTTGATGGCGTCAATCCACAAGAATGTGACCCGTTCCAATATGGCATGACATTACCAGCTCTTTTCTTCTCGCCTGTCCGCTTCCATCCCATCCGCCAGATCGAACACGTTTGGTCATGTTCCCCCGTCAATATCGGCTCCGCTAGCCATGTCTCACCATTTGGTCGAGCCCCCGTCAATCAGGAAATCTTGTCCTGTCACATATCTGCTTGCGTTGCTCGCTAAATAGAGTGAGATACCAACATAGTCCTCGGGCATGCCAATGAATCCCAGCATGGTGTCGTTTTGCCACTGCTTTATGATCTTCGGGTATCCCTCTGTCATACTCGTCAAGGTGTAGCCAGGGCTGATCGAATTGACTCTGATCCCACGTGGTCCCAGTTCTTTTGCTATTTCAGGTACCATTCCCCGGACGGCCGACTTGGTCACGGCGTATGCGCTTGAATTGTGCGTTCGAACCGCCACGTAAGACGTTGTGCTAGCAATGACAATGATGCTTTTAGTCTTGCTCCTGTTTGCGCACCCATTGCTTAACATGTCCGTGGTCTCGCCACGATCTGGCCTGGATCCGATCATTGTTTGCGCGGCAAGTTGGCAGGTAAAATATACCCCTTTAACGTTGACCTTCATTAGCTTATCAAAGTCGGTTTCTTCGGTGGCGAGAAAGTCCTTGATTTGGTTGATCCCTGCAGCTGCGATGCAGATGTCTAGACCACTGTCACCGCAGAAAGGATGAAGTGTATCTTCAAAAGCCTGTTTAAGGGACGCCACACACGACACGTCAACCTTCCGATACGCGGTGCGAATGCCGTAGGAGCTTGCAATACTTTCGAATTCCGTCGAAGGTGGGGAGATGTCAAAGACCACGACATTCACTCCAGCTCGAGCAAGGCCAGTGACTAAAGCGAGCCCTATGCCTTGGTTGCCGCCAGTGACTAGAGCATAAAGCCCACGAACTGAAAGCTGTATGGTGTTTTCCATTTAGTTGGTGAACGGAAAGCACTTGAATGTTTGATGATTCTGGTAGTGGGTGTATGACAGCCAGATTTACAAACATACCTGTTCCATTTCAGCCATTTCCCCTGGTCAGAAAACTGCAGTCTTGATGTTTGAGATACTTGTGAATCTGGAAGAGGCGAACGCTCTTGTTGCGACTCACGTAGCTCATATTCGCTCTTCTTGGACCGTGTTTGGGGACTGCGGCGGTGATCAGAATGCCGGGAACGGACGGCATTCTATGAGGCCGGAGATAGAAGTCAAGAACAGTTGAGACTCGATGTGGTATCTCGGCCATGGCAGAGGTTGGCATTGTGGATGCCACGTTTTTCAGCAACCTGATTGGAGCTTTTGATACGATACTCTTCCCCTTGACAGTCTGTAACTTGACATACCTCGGCGCCACGTTCACCTTGGAGGGCTTCGAACGCCATTGTTCTCTGACACAGTATTCTCGCTGTCAGAGAGAACAGTGCCACTTTGGTCTTTGTAATGGCATACTTACCCTCCTTGTTAAGAACGATTCGTTAGAATGCTTATAGCCATATCACCAACAAGACCAGAACTGTCAGAGGCTAGAAAAGTGGTCGTTGTCACCGGCGCAGCAGGCACGTATTGGCGTGGCGACTTGTATGGCATTCGCTCGTGCTGGAGCCCACGATGTAGCAATGCAAGATGTCAACAGTGAGAACTTACGACGTGTAATTCATAGGTTGAGCAACAAGGAGAATGGCAACCCTCCAACCTTCATGTGTTCCTCGTCGACATCACGAACCAGACCGTAATTAGAGACACCTTCGCCTCGATCGAGTCGAACTTGGGCAAGTCGAACATCTTCGTCAACAACGTGGGTTACCAACCTTCCCGGAGCTCTAGGAGATGTCATAGAGTGCGTTGTTCGGGGGGGTCGACATCAAAAACTCGATCTTTGTCTCCACAAGCAAGGACGCACAGATTCACAGATTGTAGTCTTCTTGGTGCACTAAAACTTGGCTGTTTAGATGATTTGAACAAGACCTTCTGGCAGCCCATCTGACCTTGTGTATCCTCGTGCAGGTATTCAAGTTTTTCACTTTTGCAAACACATGCTTTTCTTGCGAGATCGGTCATGGTAGATGGTTCGAGGCGCAATAGACTCACGGTCCCATCAGCCGGCGTGGGCCAATCGCATAGAACATGTGCCACGTCCTGAATGGGGTTCAAGTGTGGCAACTGAGTGGCTGGACTCAGTACACGTACTCACTCCAGTGTGACTTGTGCGTCTCCTTGCCGAATTTCAGCTGCACATTTGGTCTCTGGGTGTGGCTGAGCAATTAGCCGACGGGAACGTGAAGGGCCACAGGTGTACCTCGTACGTGCGAGTACTGTAAAACGATGTGCCCGGAAAGAGGCCGTTGCTGGTAGTAGTAGTCAGAGGGTGGTGTTTCAGCTGCGCCCGCCAGGTTTGCGCAATAGGACAGTTGGAATCAGGGAAGAGAAAGTCAATCCAATGCGCGCAACCATTGCTGGAAAGGCGAATTGAACCTTTGCCCAAAGAACTCATGACTCTGGCTACAGTGACCAGTATAATAACAGAAGGCACTGCAAGAGAATGTGCCATGGGTAGCCGTTTGTGTTCTCGTCTCACAATCACAACTCTCAAACAAGCTCTGTACCAGCCAACCCCCTTATTGAACCAGTGCCAACCCCCCAGGGTCACCACCTCACCCAGCCAGGCCTGCTGGTCACCCCAAGTATCTACTCTAGGCTCCGCTTTCTGGGCTGGGAACCACCGCCTGCTGCCACAATCTAAGCTTTTTGTCAAGCAAATCGCCGCCCACCTTCCCTCCAACACCCACCGCTAGCCACTGACTGCGGTTGCTGGCACCAGACCCTCTTTGACCTCTTAAATCTCTCTTCTTTCTTCATCCGCCTTGATAACTCGCATTGCATTCATTCATCCATTGCGATCACCTTTCAATTATCGCAACCATCTCGGACTCATCAACCCACGCTCTCTTTTGACATTTGACGGATAACCGACTCTACATCCCACACCGCCGTTGCAATGTCGAGCCAACAATACTACCAAGGTGGTCCTCAGTACCCTCCGCAAAGGTGAGTTGTCCTGACTTCGAGTCCTCTCTCGATACCGCCTGCCTACGCTGTATCTTTCCATGTACCTCATGAGACTTGCTCGCAAGTTCAGAAAAGAGCACACGTTCACCTGAGCGCATCCATTTTCTGTAGCCTGCGCTCGCCTTGTTACCACGTTGTCACCACACCTCTTCTCTCACCATCACTTTTTTTTGGCGCTGCCCACTAATTTATATCCTTCAATAGCTACGGAGGAGGTTATCCGCCTCAAGGCCCTCCGCAAGGTTACTACCCACCACCGCAAGGGGGTATGCCATACCAACAGCCTCAAAACTACCCTCCGCCACAACCGGCGCCTCGAGGACAAGACCGTGGATGCTTGGGCGCCTGGTAAGAAGCACCATACCTCTTTCCCCGTCCTGGGGCCTCAGGAAGTAGGCGCTTAAAGGATGCATAGCCACTAACATTGTTTGATAGTCTTGCGGCCCTTTGCTGCTGCTTTGTTTGCGAAGAGGGATGTGAATGCTGCGCGGACTGCTGCGAGTGCTTTGCCGAATGCTGCTGAGCGGCGACGATCCGGGAAGAGAAGAAGGCGGTGGAAAAGGAGATTGGAAGAGAAGTCAGTGATTGACGAGCGAGTCGGGTACTCTTGAGAGCGACAAATGTACACCCCGAGACTACTCTTCCATTTGCATCCGCCCTCCTCGAGCCCATGACACACATCCAAGCTACGAATCAACTCAACAACGGTCTGTGTCTTACAGATCCACAAATCCAATAATGACACCTTCAATGGGGATATGGCATGGTACATACAGTGGAGACGAGCAAAAGCGCCTGCGTTTTGCACGAGTTTTTATCTCTCATTTCCTTTGCGCCTTTTGTGCTCTGCGTTCTGCTAGCTGCGCTTGTCTACTTTGAACAGAACTGCAATCAGCGCAAGGGGGTGGATACTGGGTCTTTGTTTCCGTGTT